AAAAAAAAAAAAAAGAAACAAAACCCCTCAAAAGCAACAAACAATATGCCATCATCACCAACAGTAGCAGAAAGAAAAAGAAAAGGGCTGGAAATGTGACCTAGTGGTAGAGTGCTTGCCTAACATGCATGGACTAAGCCCTAGTACCACATACACAGAAAAAAACTGGAAGTGTCAAGTGGTAGAGTGTTAGCCTTGAGCAAAAAAAAGCTCAGCGACAAGCCCAAGCCCCAAGTTTAAGGCACAGGACTGGCAGAAAGAAGGAAAAACAAAAACAAAAAATACATTGTTTCCATTTCCTGGAATTCATTTTGATGAAGATTATTTTAAATGTTCAGAGGTTCAGACAGAGGCATTATACCTTTGGGTTCTTCCCCTAAGAGTATCCTTCTTCAGTCTCACTGTGTATGAATACCTAGAGTCCTGTATAATTTATAATTTATCATGTCCAGGTGCCTTTTAGATCTAGCTTCTGCATATGAAAGAAAACATGCACCATGCATTATTTGTCTCTCTGAGCTTGGCTTACCTTACTTAACATGATTTGTTCTAGGTCCAACCATTTCTCTGAAAAAGACATGAAAGAATTCTTTCTAGAAAGTGGCTGTGTAAAATTCCATTGTGTGGCCAGGCACTGGTGGCTCACGCCTGTAACCCTAGCTACTCAGGAGGCTGAGATCTGAGGATGGAGGTTCAAAGCCAGCCCGGGCAGGAAAGTCCGTGAGACTCTTATCTCTAATAAACCACTAGAAAACCAGAAGTGGTGCTGTGGCTCAAGTGGTAGAGCGCTCACCTTGAGCTGAAGAGCACAAGGACAGCCCCCAAGCCCAGAGTTCAAGCCCCACAACCAACCAAAATAAAAAAAATTCCATGGTGTGTAAGTACCACATTTTTTTAATCTACTCAGTTATTATAGGGAATCTGGGCTATTTTCATATCTCGGCTATTGTAAATAGCACAGCAATGTGCAAGTGAATAATATAGTAATGTGCAAGTGTCATTATAGTATCTTGGCTTATGATGTTTTGGGTAGATGCCCAAGAGTGGTATAGCGAGGTTGTAGGAAAGGTCTATGTTTAGCTTTTTGAGGAACTTCCAGACCTCTGCCCAAAGTGCTTGTACTAGTTTACATTCCCACCAACAGTGCAATAGGGTTCCTTTTCCCTTGTATCCCAACCAGCATTTGTTGTTTGAATTCATGATGTTGGCCAGTCTAACTGGGGTGAGATGGAATCTCAAAGTTGTTTTGATCTGCATTTCCTTTATGGCCAGGGATAATGAGCGTTTCCTCTTATGTTTAGTTGCCATTCAAATTACCTCTTCTTCAGAGAACTCTTCCTTAGCTCCTTTGCCCATTTAATGATTGCTTTATACTTTGGTAGGGGTTAATTTCTTGAGCTCCTTGTATATTTTGGATATTAGGCCTTTGTTGGATGTACTGCTGGTAAAGATCTCCCAGTCTGTTGGCTGTCTTTCTAGTTTAATAAATATGCCCTTAGCTGTGCAGAAATCTTTTATTTTGGTGTAATCCCATTTGTCAAGTCTCTGTCCTATCTCTGTGCCCCTGGGAGTCTTTCCAAAAAGTTTCTGCCCGTGCTTATGAGTTCTAGTGTTTCTCCTACTCCCTCTCACAGTATTTTTTTGTTGTTGTTGTTGTGGGGCTTAACCTCTGGGCCTGGGTGCTATCCCTCAGCTCTTCAGCTCAAGGCTAGCCCTCTATCATTTGAGCCATAGCGCCACTTCCGGTTTTCTGGTGGTTTTTATTGGAGATAAGAGTCTCATGGACTTTCTTGCCTGGGCTGACTCTGAACCTTGATCCTCAGATCTCAGCCTCCTGAGTAGCTAGGATTACAGGCATGAAACCAGCGCCCAGCTTCTTGCATTAATTTCAGACTTTCAGGTCTGATGTTGAGGTCTTTGATCCACTTTGAGTTGCTATTAGTGTATGATGACAGAGATCCACTTTTAGTTTTCTGCATATGGATGCCCCGTTTTCCCAAAACCAATTATTAAAGGGGCTTTTTTCCCCACTGTATATCTTTGGCTCCCTTACCAAATACCAGATAATGGTAAGTATATGGTTTTATTTCTGAACTTTCTAGTCTGTTCTATTGATCTTCAGGTCTATTTTTGTGCCAATACCAAACTGTTTTTGTTATTGTAGCTCTGTAAAGAGCTTGAGGTCTGGGATTGTGATACCACTAGTGTTGCTTCCCCTCTCTCCTCTTCCCCCCCCCCCCCCGGCCAGATAGAACAACTTTGACTATTCTAGGGTCTTCTTTTGTTCCGTAAGAATTTTTTGAATTATTTTGTCTATCTTGGTAAAGAACTTCACTGGGATTTTTTTTCTGTCAATTTTGGGGCTTTGAACTCTGAGCTTTTTTGCTCAAGTCTAGCACTCTACCATTGAGCCACAGTGCCACTGCTGGTTTACTGGTAGTTAATTGGGGATAAGAGTCTCATGGACTTTCCTGCCTAGGCTGGATCCTCAAATCTCAGCCTCCTGCATAGCTAGGATTACAGGCATGAGCCACCAGCACCCAACACCTTTTGATATTTTATAACACCCCACCATCTTTTTTTCTTAGTAATATATGTGCTTTTTTTGTTTAATTTCAAGAGTTTATATCTAGGGGATGAGGATGTAGCTTAGTGGTGGAGCCCTTGCCTAGCAAATGGAAGACACTAGGTTTCATTCCAACAGTGGAAAAAAAAGATTTACATCTCTGATTGTACTGTTTCTAAGAAAGTATTTTCTGTTACTGACCTCTAATGGTACTTATTGTATTTGAACAGTTAGAATTTTATTACTACTGTAAGAACCCAAATGCTAGCCAGGTGCTGGTAGGTCACACTGTAATCCTAGCTACTCAGGAGGCTAAGGCCTGAGGATTCCAGTTCAAAGCCAACCTGG